ACTGACTTCTTGAGTTGCTGAGGTAAAAATGAAGCCAGAATACGAGGAAGTGAAGAAAAATTCCCTTGAAGTATGATGCTTAGGGTATATTCTATGGCTTTTTGAAAAATTAAGTAGCAGAGAATGAAAGAATCGATCTACTTGTTCTTACGATTGTATTCATATTTGCAATGTAATTGTTTTTCTTTGATCATATTTGGTTCACGAATGATGTACTCTGTCATGATCAACCTTAAAGCAACCTAACAATAAAAAGACGATTTAAAACAACAATTCATAAGCAAGAAGAGCTTCAACAATCGACTATATTGGCATTGAACCATCAAATAGTATAAATCATTCTTAGTTAAGTTGCATTAAACTGAAACAAATCAAAGAAGAAAAGGATTTATTAAACAAAAAAAAAAAGAAGAAAGGGATTTGAAGAAGATGGCCACGATTTTTAGGTGTTTTTTCTTTTGCAGAATTTGTTTTTCTCAAATATGGAAACAAAATATTTCAAATATTTTTTTCCAAAATTTTTGGATATGTACATAATTATCAGTAGAATCCGTATTCTACGATGCGTAGAATAGAGTGAACAATTTTGAACGCAACTTCTACCACTTTTAGATTTCATAATAATGTCTAGATTATGTGTTCTACATGTTTTCGAGTGATAAGTTAAGCGTAGAATTTGTATTCTAAATATTTTTAGAATAATTAAAGTTATGTAGATTATGTAATCTACACATTGTAGATTTAATGAAAAATGTGGAAAACATTTTCCACTTTTTAGATTACTTCAATTTGCGTAGAAGATGTATTCTACACTTTCCGTAGAAAGAATTTATGAACTTTTGACATAAACATTTTTTCAACAAAAAAAAATCTCTAATTTGATATAGGTATTTAATTAGTAATTCTTATTTTTCAATTTTTTTTTGGTTTGTAAAACTATTTATTTGATTTATATTTGTAAATAGAAAATGACATTATAGTTAAAATGGTCCAAATTTGAAATTAGTCTAATGGGACAATGTTAGTATTTTTTTGGCTTAAAAAAAACAAATTTCCCCATTGTTTAAGCTCAAAAACTTATGAAGAACACATTCTATAAACAATTATTACAGCTTTGAAGTACAGATTCTTGAACCCATTTGTCTGTTCAACTTCAACATACGACTTGTTGTTTCTGGCTAACTTTACAGGCTGGGATCACTAGACCTGTAAAGAAACCAACTCTCAAACAATACTTAGAACAAATACTACTTGGACTCTGAGGTTCTTGATCGTTTCTTGGACATTAGCTACCGTCCAACACAACAACATAAGCAAAAAGACTAAAAGGAAGAAGCGTTGAACAGGAAAGCAGTGATCCTTGTGTGTTTCTTGGACATTGCAATAATATGTCAAAGGCATTGCTTCATACAAGCCTGAATGGTTTTATATACAAACGTGAAACAGAGGAGCAGAAAACAGAGAATCTTTTCAAGTCTATTTTTTTAAAAGATCATTCTTTGAGTTTTATGTCAGATAAAAATGGAAACTTTCTCAAGTATCGATTGATATACAACTGAAGAGAAAAAGATTACAGATCAAAATCCAAATTCGTTGATACGCATAAACAGATGAAGAAAAGAACAAAACTTGTACTTTAACAACAACAACAAAATAAAGATCGTGAAAGAATCCCTTACTGTTAGAATTTGAATGATTGAAATATAAAGTTGTGACTACACTAACTCTATTTTACCAAGGAGAATATGAAAACGTTGTTGTGTTTATGTCCTAGAGTTTTAGAAGGCATCTTAGTGTTGTTGTTGATCTCTGATGCTCTGGCTCCATTGGTGTAGAAGAGCTGATGCGGAATTGCAGATTTTCCTGTCTTTGTGCCTCGTCAGATGCCGAAGCCTCTCCATGATCTTCCTCGTTTCCGGAGCTGTTGCGCTGATTGTGGGGAGATCGATGAGCAACAAGAGAGTATCCACACAGATAGATGTCTCTGCTTTAGCAGCTAAAAGTCCCTTAGCGTTGGCCACATCCGCTGATTTCTTAGCTATTTCGAACAGTTCCAACGTATCCTTGTCGTTCTTCTTGACAGCTGGCACAAATTTAGGGTTTTCATAAACTTTCAGAGTCGACTGCTTCTTCTTCGTTATCTCTAGAGGCCTTGTTGAAACAGACTTACAAAACTCGTCATGAGGTTGCTTCTTCTTCAGGTTTTTCTTAATCACGGCTTTAGGGTTTTGAGAAAGTTTCATTGGTGGAGACGATTGCATCTTCGATGAAGGAAATTGTTGTAGCTAGGGTTTCACTCTGATAAGTCAAGTATGGAAATAGAGAGAGAGATAGAATAGTGAATCGTATTATATAGAGTGTCGAATAACGAAAAAATGGAAAAACAAGAATCCCAAGTGTCCGTTAAAGAATTTCCTTTTTTCTTCGATGAAGGGTGAAAGCGTCAGATCAATATTTCAACGTTAACACACAATTAGGCTCGTATATTTACAGAATCACCAACAACACAATCTTGTTTTTTCGTTAACTTATGTTTTAATCACGTTACAGCTGTCCGTTCAATTTTTAATTTTCTTTTTCATTTACGTGAAATTTGAAATGTTCCGTAAACATATAAAAATTGAATTTTTCTTCCTTTTTGTAAGCATTCCATTAGTTTATTTTGCTATTAGTTTTTTTTTTTTTTTTTTTTGTAAATGATTTTCAGCTATTAGTTCCTTATTACTATTTTTTCTTTAGCTCTTAGTTAGTTATTGCTACTTCCAGTTGCTGGTGCTTTTTCTTCGCCTAGACATGCCTCGATGCTGCAAAAGACTTGCAACCATTATCATTATCAGCCCTGGCCTTTTCTGTTGAAATCGCAATTTTCTTCTCGTCCTCAATGTTATTGTTTCTTTCCTTTGTTGATTTTTTTCGAAGAGAATGAATTTGGGAAGAGGGAACCGTATCTAGGGATTCACTCTCGAAATCAAAATATGGAATGTGTGTGTGTGTGTGTGTGTGTGAGAGAGAGAGAGAGAGAGAGAGAGAGAGAGAGAATCACAGGTGTTATATAGAACGCAAACAAATAACTTTGTTACCAAGCTTCCACGACTTTCACTCAGACTCATCAACGAAGTAATTCGCCTTTGGTATCTCGGAAAACCAAGTCGTGTTATCATACAATTTGGTTAAGTTAAACCGAAACCGGTTTAATTAGGGCAACAACGTCAAGATTGGGATACGACTATTTCCTTTTTTGTCAATCAATACTCCACACAATCTATATAAGATACGAAGGGAGAGGCAACCGAGAACTTCACATCACACGCAAAACAATTACTCACCCCAACAAAAAAAAAAGGTCTCTCTCTCTCTCTCTCTCTCTCTCTCTCACTGTGTACGTGAAACGAAAACGAGAATGGTGAAACGCGGAGGTACTAAGAGAAAGTACAGTAAGATGGAAAAGATCCCTAAGAGGGAATACCTCGCCACAGCTTTCACCAAACGTTGTAACG